CGTTTGAAGTCGGCTGGTCACAGGTATCCTCGGTGGTAGGTAGCTAGAAGGGACGTTAGGAAAAGGAAGGGATGCGTTTCGTCCCGGGACTACTAGCGGACTCATCGGTAAGGCTTGCTTAGCAGGCCCTTGTCTTAGACACTGGGGATACTATTGGAAAGACGGGAAGTTATATATATAGGAAACTGGGAGTTTCCCGAGGACTTGCGTGAAAGTCCTTGAAGGCGGAATCCATCTAGTGGCGAGGACGAGAATGATGGTCGCTACAAGGCCACGCAGAAAATGGTGGCAAAGTATGGTCAATCGCGACGTCATGAAAAGTGGCGATGTGTGGTACAGGTGCGCCGTCGCGAAAGGGTTAAGAGCGGTATCGGGTCCGGCTTAGGCGTTTAGGGTATCATCTGGAATGCATGTTGACAGTCTGGATGACCACGTGGAAGAATTGCATGCATGCGTGAGATATTTGTGACCAAGTCGAGTGCAAGCAATGAACGAAAGTCTAGGAATGTGTCCGAATGTCTGAAGTACCTGGCCCACTAAGGGCCAATACTTCCCTTAAGTGAAATAAGTGATCAACGAAGAGATCATACGTATGAAAAGAGAAAGTGTTAGACTTTAAATGAGGGTGCAAGGGTGCAAAGACAGAATGCGTGTAGTCGAGACGTAGCGAGCAGAGAATCGTGTGTTTGAGATAGAGTTAGAGTTGAGAGAAACCTAGCGTAATATTTCAGTTGAAATAAATCTGTTTTGTTATTAAAAAGAAGTCGTTGTTTATTAGACGCGAAGATCTATGTCAACCTAGGATTAATCTAGCATCAATCCTACAGTAGCGTTCCGTGAAATTTTCGATCCTAGCTATATCTCCTTCGGGGAACAACGCTTTTCAATTTCAATATCAATGCGTCATCAAGGCGCGACGTCTCCGTCATTGAATATGGCCAGATGAATCACGTTTGCGGGGGCCCTGCGGCTAATTTATATTCCTCTTACGTGTAACTAACTAATTAACCGACTGCCTACTGTTATGGAAGCCGCAGATTCGCTGCCACGAAACCCGAATCTGCCCACTGAACGCGCGGGTTTCGTGAACCGATTAAATCGGGCTAATACAGTCACGAGTTTCCATCTTTCCATCGCCACGATTCGTGATTCTTGACGATTTCCTTTGTAACGTGTAATCGGCCAACTTCCTTCGTTGCTCGCGACTTTTATCTGTACCACGCGGCAGTGATAAAATTATCGAATTCGTAATTATACCCGGGATATTTATAACCCTCGTGTCTGTCAGATATCGTTTTTATTTATCGCCATGGCGGATGGTTCGCTTTACGGCTTCAGATAGCGCGGCGTTAAATCAGTATACTATTCGCAGGAATTTCCGCCTTTAGGAAATATCGTACGTTATCGAGCATACGCGTGACGTTACGCGACATCCCGCGATATAACATTGTAGTTCGCGTGTCATTTGCATACCGTTTGTGCCGTTTATAAAATGGCTTTCGAATAGATTCGCTCGATGTCGAGCGTAATATTCGAATCGCGGGATTCGACAGTGTTGTTCCTTTTATTAGGAAGAGACAAATCGATGGATGGATGGTCGAGTTGACCGATAGTCAACCGGGAAACAAGTTTCAGTCGTCGGATGTTTCTTTCATTTAATATTACTCGACTGCACCGCTTTCAGCTTTCATTTCTATCGACCTCTCGTCGCGTAATTGCTGCGCAAAAAGGATGTTATAAAAGGGATAATCAAATTTCGCGATTATTCTGTATCTACGATCTTTTCATAATTCCTGGTAATTTAGCAAGCAGTCTTCCGATGCAGCTGAATTAAACGGGATCAATCAGGATCGGATTTCGTTTATCTTATTTACTTTTATTTACCATTGTAAAGAAATTTAATTACAAAGATGGAAAAGCTACTCCGGTTTCGCACGCCATCGACGTACCATTCTTTACCGATTGAGCTTTAAGAGGTGACACGTTCCGCCATTTCTTTCCGCGACCACGAGAGATCAGTCACGGTTCGACTTGACATTCTCAATTTAATTACAGAGAGAATACTCGGCACCAAGTGCTTCGAGTGATTCGAGGACCCTTCATTCGAGACCTAACAATCCTCGTTTCTCCGTTTTAGGATTTTCCGCGTCCTTGGACTTGCACTCCCAATCGAGACTCGCGAACGAGCCATTTTGTATCGCTCGTTGCACATTAAAGGGAACCCGTTAACGAATTGAGCGTGTTTATCTGTAAATACCCGCGAAGATGACCAAGGAAACGTTATCTGTTCGAAAATTAACCGAGATAAGATTGGACGAGGTATCGTAATCGAAAAATCATTGGAAACATTAGCGCACACGTATTATTGCACACTTTTAGAGTCGTGGCGGCTGAACGTTGCTGGAAAATATAAATTCGATTGTTTTCCACATCGCGCTTCCACCGCAAAAAAGTTGCACGATCTGCTGGCCAAGGCGCGTAAAATTAAAACAAACATAACGCGAATTGGAGCACAAAAACACTAAATATCGCACCAACCGATCAAATATAGGCGGCGACCAAGGTATTTGTTAAAAAAAATTCGTTATCTCGTTGACCAAAACCGTGTTGAACATCGGCAGTGAATGAGAAACGCAAAATTTGTCCGATCAGAAATCATCGGACATTTATCGTACTCTAAAAATTCTCATACGTGTACCTCGTTAAAAAGCGCCATTTTGCTTCTTTTTCCCAAAGTATAAAAGGATAATCCCATAACGTAAAAGGGACGAAATGAAATTAAATATCTTGGCCGAATACCGAAATTTAAGAAACTGGGATTATTCCAAGCTCGGGTATTAAAATATAATTCTAGGAAAATTCTTTTTAAGAGAGAATCAACTGTCTCTTTAACAAGAGGAACGGGACGAAATTATCCACGAAACCGGGTGCTTCGTTACAATGTCTCCTATTCACTCGAATGGTACAGAAGCGTGCTCGTGGACGTTTGGAAAAAAGGACGAGTCGAAAGAGTGATATAGAAATTTTATTTTCTCACCGCGACGCTGTCGGTGTCGGCCGCGCGTTTTACGAGCTTCGAAAATGCGGAGTTTAACGTCACCTTTAAAAAGTAGAAGAGAGAAAAAGGGGCGGAAAAATAAACGCAGTCTTCAGTTTGACTTTTACGAGTAATAAGTAACTTTACGCAGACGTTTGAATATTTCATTACGTGTCTGAGCGCGTGTGCTCTCCTTTTACCTTACTTGCGAATAACGAGGTTGCAATTAGTTCCTCGCTGAGAAATCCTCGTTCAAGGTCCCAGGGTATGAGAGCCTTTAATCGATTGATTGGACTCGTTCAGATGGAAATATTACGATTACAAAGTATCATAATCGAGTGGAACTTTCGTTACACAGACATCTTAAGGAAATATCGGCTACGTACGTTTGCTTTGGCGATGTGGCAAATTAAAATGTCTAAGCTCGTCGGGTTGCCTCGTGTAGAGCCTCTGGGATGTTGCAAAGGGACCTGGTTACCCTTGAAATAAAATGCGAGGAAAATCTCGCAGTTTCTTTTACGCGGAGACACAAAGGGAATTATTCTTGCAATAATTTTCCTACGTTCTCTAAACACAAGTTTCATTTCGTAATGCCTATTCGTGGGAGACAGACACGATGGAAATTGGGAAAATTCATCGTCATCGACGAGATGAATTTCCCCGACGGTGATTCTATATTTTCACCCCTTTTTGGAACAACGCGATCCCGCTGCGCGAAATCTCTACGAATTACCGCTGGAATACGAGGGCAATTTCAATTAACCCCCGCGCGTACCGTATCGCTCGCGCTTAAAAATCGCGTTAAAAATAACTTTTCAAATAACTCGCTGCGCATCCAACTCGCGCGAAACTTTTCCGCGCAATTATTTAACGAAACGAAATTAATCTTCTAGTTAACGGTGCATAATAGTTGAAATAACTGTTACTCGAAACGTAAGGAAGGACAACGATGTCTGCCTCGCGCGAGACATTTTCGCATTTAAATTGCGAACTTAGTGTTTCTGGCTCTGACAATCTCACCCTTGTTTCCCGTTTTAGGTGTTATTATTTATGCAGGATTTTTTGGAAGTCACGACAACGTTGCGTTAAATAAAAGGAAGAGGAGCGAGAATGAACGAGTGGCCAAGACAGCAGTGACAAAATGGCGGCGAGAAAATAGCGGGGGCTCGCGAAATTCTTTTTAATTAAATATATATATCTTCTGTGTTTAATCCTCCTTAATTTAATTTCTATTAACGAATAAAATTCTATATCCTACATTATTTTTCGAGTATTCAGCGTGCAACCTCCATTATTACACGGATCCTCCATGTAATAATCGTCTGACAATTTCTCTTTTTCTCTTTTATCGGGGAACGCTGTGCATTTAGAGACGAGACGGTAGAATAAAAGCGAGGTATGGTCGAAATCACAGAACTGGGATTTACGAGGACGACGTTTTATGTTGCAGGCCTCGTTTTACTCGACAGCACTGAAAACCCTGATCTCTGTGTCTACTGTGATACTGCTTGGCCTCATATTTGCTTACCATGCCTTAGAAGTTCAGGTGCGTATAAAAAATCCAATAGGCTCGATGTTACGTCCTTGTAGCGTGCATGTAAACAATCTGCCGTGGACGTTGCCTTCGCGGAACGAGCATGCGGAAAAAATGGCCGATATAAAGCCGACGCGTTTGCACACACCTGTGGGGTTTCATTTCAGAAAGCGGAACGCGTCCATCGTCTTCCAGTCCGGGACAAATGTCTCCATCTCGCGTCGTCCTATATTCCGGCATTTCGCCTTTGGTACACACTTATCGACCTGTAGTATATCGTCCCCCGTGTCGTGAAATTGATTAAACAAATTCCAGATACTTTGTCCGTTAAATCCATTTTTGCGTTGGAGACGCCGAGTCAGTCGCCGTGATACTGCAGCAATTTTGCACGTACAATAGAACGTCGATTATCCAAATATAAAATCCGAATTTATTTTTCGTACCATTTATTTTGCTTATTTTATTTTCTTTTCTTTTTTTTTCTTTTTAACGACATGTGTATTTTTGACGTAGAAAATATTTATGCGCGAGAATGGTTAAATTTCTGGTTGATCCATGACAGGCCGATTATTTGTGTACATAGAACGATTTGATTGGGTAATCCACGTTTTATGATGTACGGTCGGGGGTTTCTTTCGTGTCATCGGTATCCCAAGGGAACAGATCCCGGGGTAATCGTAAATCAACTCGAAGGTGACGTTTACAGTCATCGATTGCGCCAATTAGAATGCTTTCACAAGCGTTTCTGCCTGGATTGCTTGTACAGTTTCTAATTGGCTCTAGGAAGGGGGCGCTGCAGCGCAATCGGAGCGTAATCACGGGTGCAGAGGTTCCAGTGTAACGAGACCACTGAGACCCTCTTCTTCTTCCTTCTTTGCTATATTCCACCTCCACCTGTCTCCATTTCTCATCCTTCCCGTCCGTTTCGATTTCTCTCGTCTATTCCTATTTTCTCGCCATGGTCTCTTATTCTCCCCCCTATCTCCTACCCTCTCGCTCGTCCCATCGCCCCTCCGTGGCTGAATTAATTTCTCGGAAAGTTCTCGAAAGCGATCGAAGAAGTCGAGAACTCATGAACGCGTGAAATCGTCACGCCTGTTAAGCATGCATCGTCAGCCAACCCCTAATGACGGTCTAACGATGATTAATCGACCGATTGATACAAAACTAATCTTCCGCTCTCCCTTTCCGCTACTTTGCGCAGCCTCTCTTGATTAAATCTGATTAATGACCGTGAAATTCCACGGACACAAAAGTGATAACGGGCTAGTGTAACCACGGTGAATAATGAATCGCGTGGCTGATAATTTGTCGAACCGGTAAGTAACTGAAGGGAGCTTCGATGTCTGACTGTTGGACAGAACTGAGCTCTACATCGATTTTCGAATCCTTCTAAAGTAGCACGAAGTTTGAGAATTCTCTTATCTCGATCTCCGCGTGCAGGAAAGTTGAAACGAATTTCAATTATTTGGAAGATTGTTCCGTGCTGTTAAAATGGCCACCGGAAGATTTGGAAGCGGTAGCTACGTCACGATAACTCCTGACTCCGACGTTATTGAACTCCCTCTTTACAGATTTCTCGAGACATTTTCAGTTTCTTATTCTTTCATTTCGTTACAGTCAAGGATTTCTTTCTCGTTCTCGCCTAGACTGGCAGCCACACGCTTGACTTTCTTTTCATTTTCTTTTCCGATTTCCCCTGCTCCCGACTCTGTCTATTCCTTCTATCGTCTATTTAATCCGAGGTCTGTAATTTCTCCTGAAATTACAGATACGGAGTGGATTCCATATCCTACTGATATGGAATTCGTATTCTGTCGGGTTCATATATAACCGTAGTCTGCCCGTCCTTTGATACCTTCTTTAATTATTACTCGTTACTTGCTGGATATAAAAATTAATTCGAGTATACATTCTAATCCAGAGAGATTGAAATATCCCGAAGATGAAAGAAAAATTCGGTTGCTCGTGTTACGGTAGTTTTAATATTAAAGATCAATGGTAAAAATTTTTGCTAAAAGTTATTCTGCAATGCAAAGAATCCGTAATATCCCAGTGATCAGAGAATGCCTCGAAACAGCCTGAATTTAGTGCATGAACGATCACGCGTTGCTCGATAATTCGAGTGCGATGAAAGCGCGAGGATCGCGAGTTTATTGCAGATCCATGCGGCAATGCGAGGCCTGGATCGTTAAAATCCTCGCGTCCCGTCGATCGCGTTTGACCGATATGAATTTTCATGAAGATGCGACTTTATTTTCCTCCTCGTGTCCCGCCATCGGACGGGGCCAATAAGCCGTGATTTTATGGTCCTTCGAATCGCTAGATGGCCGACAAATTTCGCCGTTATTAACGCGAATCACGATCGTGATTATTTCCAGAGAATTCCCGCTATTCGACGCAGTCGTTGCAAACTGTGGCCAGGTATATCCACGACAATGGCACCGCTTTTATGTCGTCGACGTTAAACCTAATCGCACCGCGCAATGCCCAGAACTGTCAATTCGCCCGCGAATCGCCGTCTGTGCAGAATGCTTTAATTTTGAACCGCTGCAGAATTACAGATGCACTTTATATCTTAATAAAACCAGTTAAGAGCGCGGAGATTCCATTTTCTATGGGGCGATGATACCAAAGTCGGGTCGTTAGGGAAAATCGGGGATCACTGAACGAGTGATTTTTAAGCGAAGGATTATCGGTTGAATAGCCAACAGAGGTTTAATTAATAATTAAATTAAATTCATTAATTACACATTACTAGTTCGAGTTAACGTTAGTTTCATCGCTAATAAACCCAATAACTAATATTAACTTAATAACTCGGTAACTGGGTTAATCTTCTCGTATTAAATTATTATACAAGTATAATACCGAGCAGAGCGTGAGGCTGCTATGCGATTCGTTAGTTTAGTCACCGCAAAACCTACCAAGAGTCACGAGTTGGTTCCCGTATTTGGCGAAATCGATAAATCCTGACGCCTACCGATAATCGGGTCGGTTGATACCGAGATTACGATCAGCATGACTATGGTAACAGCTGCGTTTCGCGTCCCCAAAATTTGTATCGCGTTATAGAGAATCGCGTGGTTAATTCGATTACCGCTGCGCCCGCGAGAAAATTGCGAATTGTTGTCACGACGAACGCGTAGTGACGGTACTCTAATTGCGTTATCGTATGCCGGTGCACGCTCGCCTGCATAATACCGCGAAACTATGCGATTCCCGCGGAGCTTCGGCAAACGAGATCGAGGTGAATCGCTGACAGAGAATCGGACGAAATAATAGAATAGAAATACGATAGGAATTTTGTTTCGGCCAAAAATGTGACGAATATCGCGAGGAATGAGGCCGACGTTGAAATTTACGATATAGATTAATTACAGAGAAAGAGAGAGAGAGAGAGAGAGAGATTCGTACACGTGACACACAAGATTCTCCGATTTTAGGTATCTGATCCGTCCAGTCGAAAGCAGTTTGCTTCCCTTATCGTAAGCCTGATAAATCCCCACGGTAATTGATGATAGAGCCGGTTACGAGTGGCTAGTCACTGGTCGCAGAATTCATCCGTAAGTGGTATAAACCGTCATAAGTCAGACGTGGCAATCCGCGCTCTGTTGGCGGCCGCGATAACGCTCCGAGTTTCTTCGGATCCCCATCGGGTTAATCTCTGGAGCGTATATCAAGCAGAATGAATTGCATTATCGTACGAGCTCGTTTAACGGAGAATGGCCCGGAGAGTATCTCGACCGACGATCGTTGGTCAAACGATACCGTTTGCACTGACTTGGGTGGAGATGGTCGATCTCGTTGCTGGACTGACGAGTCGAGGTACACAGCGAAACGTGAAACCGGAGTACAGAGATGGTCGAAAACGGAAATGGTGGTTTGGACGCGGGTTCGAACGCGAGATAGAGTTTAAAGCAAGTACTAACTGCCTACGTCTTAGACCGAGGAGAAGTAAAGAGTTAATTTAATATTGGGGTTCGATAGACAGACATTTTCGTCATCTGTTACCACTGTAATTTGGAACATAAATAGAAGACTGATACTTGGAGCGGATTATTTTCCGCGAGAGTTTGAGCATTCGATATTTGGACCCGCGAACAGTCGAAATATTATTATTATATTAGCTGTGAAAGCAAATACGAGCACAAAGGCAAAGTTCAAAGAATTTCTCGAGAGAGGGAGTGAAAAATTCAAGGTATTCCGTGCTCATGCAGTTTTGTGATAAACTTTTAACGTTAAAGAACGCGTTACCACGTTTGTCGAATAAAATAAGCTACCGTTAAGTAGTCCAAAAATATGATTACTATTTCTCACGCTATACCTGCGAATGCTAAAATACGATTATCCAAAATGTTCAAAATCTATCGCATGGAACCTCATCTACGCGGCGTTCGAGCGAAGGTAAGCACGATGCTCGCTCTAATACCTTAATACAAGCCGGTTACCAAGTTCATAACGCTTAACTCGAAAGTTTATGATATCTAATTATGCATACATCGGTGGATCATCGTGTTCCCTCTCCCTTTACCCAGCCAACCGATGCCTCTTCGGTTTTCACGCGGCACCAATCTGCTCGCGCGACACTTTCGCAACTCCGAACTCTCGGTCAGCTGAATGCCGGGTAAAAAATGCCCGTCGTAAAATCGCGACGAACCGAAACGATCGGGAATTTATGGAAACCGGCGAGGAAGTATGTTTGCACGCGCCGATGCGAAACCGGTCGATGGTACGGCATCGTTGGAAATTAAGAATGGCCTGTTAGCCCCGCGCAAATATAGCTTGCAGCCGGTACGTGGAAGGGTTGAGAAGCCGCGAGAACATCTTTCCACGCTGTCAATATTTGACTTGGCTCTGAAATGTTTCAGCTGAGACCGGCCACGTGACGTAACACGCGCTAGCATCTTTCTTCCGTCGGCCATTACCGATTTATTACGGAACGCGAGAATCGGTGCCTACACCTGTGCGTGGTTGTTAAAATAAACAGCCGACTGTTTTCGTTCGTCGAT